AGTAGATAAAATAGAACTCAAAAACTTATAAAACGATTTTATTTCGATTTAAAGTTTTATATTGTTTAAATTTTAAAAAAATAAGAATTTTTAAAAAAAATAAGAACAGAATAAAGCTGCACAATGCGAAAGAAGAAACTTTTATTAACTTTTGATCTAATAATCGGAACTTAGGGTACCTGAACTCAAACTTAAAGATTCGATGGGGTGACTAATTAGAGCAGACGATATTTTTAAGTTACAAAATCAGAACAAAAACGTATTTTCTCAGACTAAACGTACCTTTTTTTGACAGATTTGGATTCCTGATCCCCAAAGTATGGGAGTAGCTGCAATTTGAAAAAAGGGTCTCTATAGTTTGGTCAGGAGAGCGCTTCAAAGTTTGGACTCCTTAATATGTTAATTTTTCTTTTTCATATTTCACCATATCTTGGGAATTTTTTAAACGAAACGAAAAAAAATTCCCCACAATAATAACATTTGTTAATACAAAGAGAAAATTCTATTTAAAAAAAAATTTTAATAAGCATTTATTATTTTTTTTCAAGAATAGTCACACAAAAATTTTTTAATTATATGTCATACGAATTTTTACATTATTTTAAAGAATGTAATTTAAAGGCAAAATACAAAATTTTAAGGAAATGGTTTAATAGTTCCTGAAAAATAACCAGGGTTCCCACTCTTTTAAAAAAGCAAAAATTAAGCACTTTTAAGGACTTTTTATAGAAAAAATTAAGGACTTATGCCCCCAGTGACAGTGCCAATTATTTACCTTTCTAAAAACATCAATAAAAAAACAATAATAATAAATAATTTTATTATAATGTACACACTGATATAATTGTGTTAATTAACAGGGCTCAGCAAAGAAGTACCAGGCTATTTTTGCAAACCCGGGTCGGGTTTTTTGAATAAAAAAAATTTCCGATCGTTAAAAATTAACGTCATTTAGATTATAAAAGTTAACATATGAAACTAATCTGTATTCCATTTTTAATGATTTCAATGAAATTGAATTGTAAGATTAAGTGCGGAAATTAAGATTTGTAATTTTTTTCATGTATACTAAAAAAAAAAGCCAATAAAGAAAATTGGCACAAACATTGAAAAATTATTACAGGAAGTTTTTATATTTCGCTACTAGACCAGCAAACGTGTTATAATTACTTTTATGATGAACTTTAACAAAATTATTTCCAGCCAAACATGTTATTATGAATTAACTTTACATAATGTTACTAAACATTCTGGTGAAAAACATGAACTGATTTTAAAGCAACCAAAAATTGAACAAAAATTAAAAAAACGGTATATTAAGTTGCAATTGTTAACTGAATAAAATTATTATTAAAATCTAAGGATCTTTCAGTCGAGTAGATTTAAATTTTTATGCAACATTCTGCTTATCCTTAGTGATGCTAAAAAATTAAGGACATTTAAAAACCTTATATCAAAATTAAGTACTTTTAAGGGCCCTTATTTTCCAAAATAAAAATTAAGCAGTTTTTAAGGACTTTTAAGGACCGTGGGAACCCTGATAACATTTCAAATATACTTTTCTTCCTTCTCTTGAAATAAAATACTCTAGGTGGTACATTTGATTATATGAATGAAGCATTCATTTGAATGAAACATACATATGAATGTCGATTAGCTAATTAACGACATGAATTTCCATGCCATCTCTCCATAACACATGGAAATTCATTTTTCTCTAATTTACCTCTCTCGGCCACTGTGTTTTTTCCAGTTTCTATTTTTTTAATCTTTATTTATTTTTAATTTTCTCTTTCACTCTTGGCTACCGCTGTTTTTCAGTTTTATTTTTCACTTTTTTTATTTTTTATTTTTGATCGCAACTTTAAGCTTTCTGGCTAGTCTTGAAAAGGGGTGCCTATTTTTTACGCTCGAAACATATCGATTTTTAACATTTATCACGATCTTCTTATTTTTTGTAAACAAATGAAGTTTTATATAATCAAATACATGTTGCCGTTTCAGTTTTTTGGGTTTATTCATTTAATTCCAGGTGGTAGAGGAATCATAGGTTCCTTTTATAGTCGAGCTAACTGTAAAAGGTTTCTTGTTTTATTTATAGCGAATAAGGGTTTGAACTCTTTGCAAAACTGAAGTTGTACCTATATTCAACTCAAAGTTCGGCTCTAATTTTCAAAAATATTCTGTTTTGTACAAATTTAAAAGAATTGCTATTGGTTGACTGTTGAAAGTCGACGACAAACTGAAATAAAATGCTGAAGACCGAGAACATGGCCAGTTTTTCACAATTAAGTAGTTTCCATTTTTTATAAAAATTCAAACACATGCGTTTCGAGAACATGGCCAGTTTTTCACAATTAAGTAGTTTCCATTTTTTATAAAAATTCAATCACATGTGTTTCGAGAACATGGCCAGATTTTCGCAATTAAGTAGTTTCTATTTCTTATAAAAATTCAATCACATGTGTTTCGAGAACATGGCCAGTTTTTCACAATTAAGTAGTTTCTATTTTTTATAAAAATTCAATCACATGTGTTTCGAGAACATCAAAATCATTCCAGGTGGAAATTAAAAATGAAGCACCGAAGTAAAATGACACATGCTCCCTTCGACCTTGAAATGTAGGAGCAAACTAAGCCGGATCGATATCGGAGTTACACCACATTTTTCTCACTATTCATTTGGAAGAAGAAAAAAAAAGCTGAACTTCTCGTCCACATTTTTTTTGTTTTCCAAAAAAAAGAAATAAAACTGATGTGTAAGTGAAACATCGATTCGAGAGAAGAGAGTTTAGCGGTTTTTCGAGTTTTATTCTTATTTCAGAACAAAAAGTCTATGCAGAAAAGCGTTGTGATTTTATAAAACAGGGAAAGCAGAATATTCCAAAAAAAATATGCATTTTATACACCGTGAAAAATACTCGTTTTTTTCTGGATTTTCACTCTATATTTGACGGCTCAAACCGGATTTTTTGTCAAAACGGTTTTTCGCTGTATTTCATCATAATCATAAACAGATTAAAAACGTCAGTTCAAATTATAGTTTTTGACGCAGTTTTGCTTACCGTACCAAAACTTCACTTTTTCTCAAACCATTTTGCGATTATTTTCTGTACTTGCTAATATTTCAATAAGAGTGGGCTGCTATAGTTTTAAACGTTTTTACACTTAACTCTGCATATGCAAATCAGTATCATGTGGCATGATGCTGTTGCTCCAGGCCAACTCATGGAAGTCAAAATTTACCTCAATCAAGAAATTTTTATTGATTTTATATATATTAGATTTACACAGACTTTTTTATTTCATTTAGAACCAACTAACAAAACTAATTAAGCATCATTAGCGTCAATAACGGTAGATCGATTTTTTACGCTTCTTCTAAATAACTTGAAAGAACTTCATACCATTTATCCATTAAATTTGTTTTTTAGCACATAGCTAATTATTTTTTTTTTCAATCAGTACCTATTACCGAAATTAATCAAGTATCATTGATGTCAATAAATAACAGTATCGAGAATTTTTACGTTTCTCCTACATGAATCAGTACTCTTTCTCCATAAATTTTGTTTTTCAGTACATAACTTATTTTGATTTTATTGCAAAACCATTGATTTTAAATTATTTAGTTTTAAATAAACATGTTTTTAAATCATAACTGTAAACAAAATAAACACGTTGCTTACATAATTTGAGGAATACTAATTTGAAGACGTAGTCAATCTGCGCTACCACGTTTACGTTGGTCATTGAGTTTATCTGATATAACGTTCATTTTTTAAACGTCTCTCCTCAATGATTGATCGGGGGTTAAATTGCTCCTGTCACACCCAGTTCAAATTTCAGAACGCTAACATAAACGGTTCGGAGTTATAAGAGAGACACACACACTCACATAAACTCTTCATTTTATATTATTATAGACAAGCTGAATACCAGTTCTCCGTACGTGGTCAATAAAAAGTAAACAATCAATAAATCAGTACAGCACAAGACTCATACCAATACAATTAATCAAGTTAAAATATTTTAATTTTTTTTATATTATTTTTTTTATTTCTCTTGCCGATGGACTTATATTATTTCATTAAACAAAACACTTTTTTTTAGTAGTTTATCTTGTCAAAATAAAGATTAAGAGTAGCATTTTGCATGATACTGTGGCTCGAGGCGAACACATAATTGACAATTTATTCAGTACCAAATATGTTTTTAATTGTACCGATATTAGTATACTTGGTATTTACCCAATTACCATAATACCAAAAGTGCCTATTTCGGCGATTAATATTGGCGATTTTTAACGTTTCGACTAAACAATTAATAAGTACCATTTCTCCATTAATTTTGCTTTTTAGTACATAGATTTTTTATTCTCATTTCACTTAAAATCTATTACCAAACTTGATTAAGCATCAATGAGCGTCAATATTAGTATGGTGATTTTTTAAAGCACAACTGCAACAAAAAAATAATACGTGATTTCAGATAACTTTCGAAATTATAATTTGCAGATGTTGTTCACCTATGCTACCAAGTTCACGTTGATAATTGAGTTTATTTGTCAAAGCGAATAAAAAATCATTACATATCTATGAAAAATGCAATAAACTCCCTTTTTCAATGAGAGCTACAAGCTAGCGAATGTCACTGATGTACAGGGTAACAAAAAAATATAGGGATCATTTTTGAATGCTTTTATTTCCGAAATTTATAACATAAATTCAGCGATGCTTCTCAATATGTCGACCTCCGGAATAATAGATTTCTCTACAACCCTTCGGCCATGATTTTAAAGCCCGCAAAATGATTTCCTGGGGGATTTTCTTCACCTCTTCTCTAATAGCTCTTTGAAGGCCTCTCAATGTAGAAATTCTTCGCTTATTCAGTTTGTTTTTCAGATGTCCCCATAAGAAATAGTCGCATGGTGCAGCATCAGGACTGTTTGGAATCCATTGTACTGGTCTCAGGAATTGCACTTGCTGATCTGTTAGGAATTTCAGGGTGACCTTAGATGCATGCGATGGGGCAGAGTCCTGATGGAACATAGCATCAAAATCAGGGTACACTCTTCAGTAATCATCCTTAATAAAGGGTTTTAATATCTTCTGTATGTAAT